ACTTTCGCGGATTATTGTTTTCCTTTCGCGGAGACATGAAGGATCTTTCGCGGACACTCTATTTCACATGTTTAAAACCGCTTTATATAATCCCCACACAAAGAGCTGTAGATCAATGCTCATATATATGTATATATATATACATATATATATATACATACTGCAAAGAGAAAAGGATCCCGCATGGACCTGTAGGAAACAGAACATGTTGAGGGTCTACAGTAAACTACCTGTACACAGCTTCTGCTCGAGCTTGCCTAAGCATCGGCTCCCTCGCACGCAACACTTCCTCTGGCTCCGGAGATCGAAAAAACCGTAAATACTGAAGCTCAGCCGCTTTGTGGGGCATAGGCCTAGGGTTGCGGATGTTGTCAGGTGCAGCCTAAACAACCGTTGACCTTAAACCTTCATCCGGTAAACAGAGTCAATCCAAAGCTGTCGAAGTATGACGGAAGGAACCCCTTAATGCCAGGAAGTGCAATGGTGGCTATTCCTGAGTATCAACAATTTGTTTGTCGTTTAGGGCCCTGGTCCGAAACTGCTATTGTACGCACGATGTGACTGCAAGTATTGTCGCTGCCCCTAAGCTAAACATTAGACCACTACCCTTCACCGAGGCACGGTTGGTGGTGCCCACGACAACGCATTGAAGACCGGCACCAAGAGCGCAGCCATGAAAAGAAAGGGTTCTGGCCGGCACTTCGACAAAAACTACAGACGGTTCAGTGTCTTGTTGCTGTGATTACAAATAGAATGAAACAATTGCTGCTATCGCGAGCGTTAGCATTAGCAGCAGCAGTAATTAGCAGGCTAGGGGTAGTAGAAATTAGCAGGAGGAGCCGTAGTAGCAGCAGCAGTAGCAGTAGAGCAGATAGCCGTAGCCGTAGGCTCAGTAGGAGCAGTAAGAGCAGTAGGTGCAGTAGCAGTAGTAACAGTACTAGTACTGTAAGAGTAGTAGTCGTGGCAGTAGCAGTAGCAGTAGTAGCAGTAGTAGCAGTAGTGGTAGTGGTAGTGGTGGTAGTAGTAGTAGTAGTAGTAATGGTGGCGGTAGTAGTAGTAGTAGTAGTAGTAGTAGTAGTAGTAGTAGTAATAGTAGTAGTAGTAGTAGTAGTAGT